TCTCCCTAATTGACATTAGAACAAAACATCAACAATAACATGGTTGTGTTATTATTACTCAAAAAACATTATCTAGGCTGAGAGAAAAAGGTTCAGCTGGTCAACAATATCCTTTACAGTTTAATTTACCTTCAACATGCAGCTCCACTGTAGAAAAAGCAGCAAACTTTTAACAAAAGTCTGACTGTCCTGTGGCCCCCACCTCACTTTTCTTTTGTCCTTCTCACATCAGGGTCAGAGGCTCCTGTGAGGAGAACATGAACATAAACAGTGAACATTAGGTGAACTGTTTAAGCAGCTGACTGGATGGATGAGCAGTTTTACAAGCTAAGATTTATGTTACTGTCAATCTTTAATTAGCTTCTGAGTTTTGCTAAGCTACGCAGATGAAATAAATTTACACACTAATATCTTAAAGTTAGCGTTACATGGATCATACTTTATTTCACCGCTATATACGTGTTAAGCTGCAGTTACGCTAACAAACGTAAACTCACCAGCTGAAGCACAGACACAGAGCCGTCCTCTGAGTTCTTTGATGAAGAGTCCGGTCGTGGAGATAATGAATCAGAACGTTCAGGCTCTACTCACAGGCTGACTTTAATGCTGAGAGGAGGAGGGGGAGGTGTCTCACATTAGAGATGAGGTGAGCCGACGCGCACTGAGAAAAGGCGTGAGCACTTTCTGAGTGAGACGCCATTTCAGTGGAGGTTGCAGCTGTCGTGGAGAAACACGTTTACTCCCGCTGCGCTGTGAGTTGGCAGAAAACAGCAGAAATTTAAAAATGGGCTCTGGCTGAAAACGAGGGATTTTACCGGACTCGGTCTGCTGAAAAAACATCATTTTAGCAGACGTGGCAGGCGAGTGTTTTTTTTATATTTACTGAACTGTGGTGCCATTTAAAATACTGTTTAGAGGTTACTGGCTCATTCCTTGTGGGGAATGTGCGAAGAGAGGCAGCTGTGAGATCAGCTGATCTGACAGTCTCAGATGAAATCTTTACTTTCAGAGGTATTTCTGTTTTATATCAAAACATACATCATCAAAAAACACATACATTCCCCTCAATGACCTGTTACCTGGTGGAGGGGACCGGCGGAGGAGCAGAGCGTGAAGTCGCTGCCGCTGCTGTGGAGCACCTCGGCTGCTGTTGCTGGCCAAGGCAGTCCCTCCAGCGGCCGGAGGGACGTGAGGAGGACTGTGACATCACCAGATGATGTACAGTCTCTGAGACCTCCTCGGACTTCTGCGATTTCTCAAGGATGGTCCTGAAGATGGCCCCGAACAGTGCCTCTGGGGTGATGGGGCCCTCCAGCAAGTCTTTCTGCAGCCTCTCTGTAGGAATGTGCGATAAGACATAAAATTCATATCACGATATGTATTGTGAAGGGTGGCGATAACGATATATATCGCAATATGTTTTTGGTATAAAACTTTCTAAAAAAAAGCACAGGGTGTCCTTTTGCCATCATATATTTTGAATTAAGAAAATAGGTCCAGAGAGTTTTTAAATAATAAACAAATCAAGTATTATATTAGGCTTCTTTCTTGTAGTGCAAAACAGTGCAAAAGATATCAAATGTAGTTTTAGCCATATGTTTTAAACAAATGAATATGTTGTTAACTCTTAACAGTTTCTAGTCTTATTAACTTAAGAAATGAACAGCAACAGAGCAGCATTTTACACTGAAACACTTCACCCTCCAAACCTCTAGTGGGCATCTCCTTCTGCTTTAATGAAGAGCTGACACAAAATGAGTCTGTGACTTTGACCAGAGGGTCCCGTGGTAAAATCACACAACACAGCGTTATTTTACAAATCAGAGAGCAGGTTTCTCTATGCTGACCAACGCTTACTTTAACTTTCGATGGAAAAAAAAAAAAACTTTCAACGGAACTCCGAGTTTTGCACATGCATCAGAATACGGCAACACTACGGCAAGCCGGGCATAGTTAGCTTGTAGCTTCGCTACTTAGCCATCGAAGAAAAGACTTTTAACGCCACTTGCACACAGTTTTCAGCTCAAAAAAGTAACTATTAAATCTGACAGCTCTGATTTTACACTTGAACACCACTTACGCACAGTTTTCAACTAAAAAAAGTAACGATTAAACTGACAACTCTGATTTTACATCAGACACAGCATTACTGCAGTTAGCCGGTAGAAGACAGATCTCTATCGTAGGCTAAATTTCTATCGTTTCTACCGTATACCGTTATATCACGCATTCCTACCTCTTGGACAAGGATGGCAAGAGGCGGAGACAGGTGGTCCTCTGGATCATGGCCATCTGGGCGGTGATGCGGGACAGGCAGACTGCAGAGGTGGTGCACATGTTTAAGATGACGTCAGCGGCTTTACAGAGAGAGCTCTTTGTCTCCTCCAGCAGGTCTGCTTCCTCCAGCCTCTTTGAGATGCTGTAGGCCAGCAGAGCGATGTTGTTGTTTGCCGCGACTGCCTGGGATGTGCACTGGTGAGCTCGGTTGGAGAGCTTTGTCATCCTCTGATCATGCTTTCCTGGAGGGATAGGTTGCCGGTCCATCCTGGAAGCTTTTACTCCAAGCGCAATGTGCATGGACTAACATCACCCCCCTGTGGTCATGGGGGACCACGA